TTTCACTGTTATTATCCTTTGAGGCATAAAAGATTTTAATTAAATCAAATGTATTTTTTCTTTTTATTGTATTTTTGGTGCTACATTTAAGAAACTATTGCCAAAGCCAAGAAAAATATAATACAGAATTTACCACTTGAATCCTCAAGTGCACACACTGTACAAGTTGTTTTTAACTTGCCTCTATGTTTTCTTCTATGATTTTTTTTTTAAGTAAGCCCTAGGCCCAATGGGGGCTTGAACTCTTGACCCTGAGATCAAGAGTGGCATGCTCCACTGACCACACACCCTCTTCTAAGAATTTTACAATTTTAGCTCTTAAATTTAAATCTTTGATCCATTTTACATTAATTTTTGTATGTGGTTTAAAGATTCAACTTCATGTTCATGCATGTAAATATCCCATTTTCCAAGCACCATTTGTTGGAGACTTTTCTTCATTGAATGGTCCTGAAACTCTTATTGACAACCATTTGACTTCAGAGGTGAGGGTTCATTTCTGGACTCTCAATCTTATTCATCTATTTATTAATCCTTATACCAGCACCCCATACTGTTTAATTCCTGTACCTTCCTACATTTTCAAATTGGGAAATCTTCCAACTTTGCTCTTTTTCAGGATGGTTTTAGCTATCCTGAGTCCTTTGAAATTCCATACAAATTTTAGGATTTTTCCATTTCTATAAAAATTGCCATTTTTTTTAAGATTTTTTTTTTTCCTTGAGAGACACAGAAAGAGGCAGAGACACAGGCAAAGGGAGAAGCAGGCTCCTCACAGGAAGCCCAATGCAGGACTCTATCCTGGATCCTGGGATCACGCCCTGAGCCAAAGGCAGACACTCAACTGCTGAGCCACCCAGGTGTCCCAAAATTGCCATTGGTTTGAGAGGGACTGCACTGTTGTACATTGTTTTGGATAGTTTTGCCATCTTAACAATAGTAAGCCTCTCAGCCCAGGAGCATACGAGGTCTTTCTCAAGTTCATTTCTTTCAGCAAGGTTTTGTAGTGATTTCTTTCAACGTTTCAGTGTACAAATTTTATACCTAATTGGTTAAATTTATGTGTAAGAATTTTATTCCTTTTGATGCTACAAAAATGGAATTTTAACTTCTTTTTCACTTTATTTATTTATTCATGAGACACACAGAGGGAGGGAGGGAGGGAGGGAGGGAGGGAGGGAGGGAGGGAGGGAGGGAGAGACAGGCAGAGGGAGAAGGCGGCTCCATGTAGGGAGCCTGACATGGGACTTAATCCCAGGTCTCCAGGATCAGGTCCTGGGCTGAAGGTGGCGCTAAATCGCTGAGCCACCTGGGCTGCCCTAACTTCCTTTACAGATTAATTGACCAGTGTATTCGCAGCTTTGCTGCATTAACTTATAAGTTCTCAGTTATTTACGTGTATTGTGGGGTCTTTAGTTTTCTACTGCTGTGCCATCTACAGATACTCTTCCTCCTTCATTCTCAATGTATCTTTTCCTTCTTTCTTGCCTGACTGCTTTAGCTTGGACTTCCAGTACTGTTGTGCAGAAGTGATGAAATAAAGCACTTGTCCTGTTCCTGATCTTAGAGGAAAAGCTTTGTCTTATCACTGAACAGCTTCACTGTGAGCTTTTAATCATCTATGGCCTTTATTGTATTGAGGTGCTTCTTTTCTGTTCCTGGTTTGTTGAGTGTTTTTATCATGAAAAGGTATTGGGAAACACTTGTTCTGCCATGAGTTGAGGTGATCATGTGTGTTTGTTTTTTTCCCTAGTCTATTAACGTAGTAATTGCCTTGATTCCCATAGGTTGAGCCACTCTTGCATTCCTTGGGAAAGACCCACTTGGTTATGGTGTATAACGTTTCTAATATGCTGCTAAAGTCAGTGTGTTACCCATCTGTTGAAGACTTTTGCATCTATGTTGAGATATAACCCCACAGCTTTCTTTTCCTAGTGTCTTTGTGTGGCTTTGGTATCAGGATAATACTGACCTCATAGAATGACTTAGAAGTGTTCTCTTGAATTTTTTTGAAGAAATTGGAGAAAAGTAGTATTCTTTACATGTTTGATAGAATTTACCCGTGAAACCATCTGGTAAATGGGCTTTTCTTTGTATGGATTTTAAATACTTCAATTTCACTTTTCATAGGTTTACTCATTATTTTCTATTTGGAGTCAGTTTTGGTAGTTTTACTTCTAGGAATTTATCCATTTCATCTAGGTTATCCCATTTGTTGGCATACAGGTGTTCTTATTAGTCTTTTATAATCCTCCCTACTTCTATAAAGCTCAGTAATGTCCTTTCATTGATTTTAGTAATTTAAATCCTTTTTGCTTTATCAATCTAGCTAACCACTTCTCAATTTTGTTGATCTCAAAGAAACAACTTCTATGTCCCTGGTTTTGTTTTCTATCATTCATTTCACTTATTTTTTACCATTACCTTTCTTCTGCTAGCTTTAGGTTTAGTTTGCTCTGCTTTTCTTTGTTCCTTAAGACATACAACTAGGCTATTGATTTGACCTTCTGCTGTAATATATATATTTATAGCTATAAAGATCCCCCAGCACTGCTTTCACAGTATCCCTTAAGTTCTGTTGTTTTCATTTTCATTCTCAAGTTATTTTCTAATTTCCTTTGTGACTTCTTTGACCCACCAGTTGTTTGAAAGTGTGTTGTTTAATATCCACTTATATGTGAGTTTTCCTGAATGTTCATATCCTGTAACACAGTAATTTCACATTTAAGTATATACCCAACAGGTATGGGAGCAAAGCTGCCCCCAAAAGACATACCAAATGTTCACTCTGGGCCATTAATGGCCAAAGCACCTAAGTGACTGGAAGAATGGATAAACTGAAGCATAGTCATCTCATGAAATACTATATACAAGTGAAATGAATAAACTACACAGCATGAATCTCACAAATATGATACTGAACCACAAATATGATACTGAACAACAGAAGCCACCCAAACCCAAATACATATTGAAGACTTTGATCTATTTTAAGTTCAAACAACAGGTAAAACAAAGTTATGGGGGGATTCCTGGGTGGATCAGTGGTTTACTGCCTGCCTTTGGCCCAGGGCATGACCCTGGAGTCCCGGGATCGAGTATATGACTTAGGACTCCTGCTAGTGTTACAGATGGAACACTAGCTCCCTGCATGGAGCCTGCTTCTCCCTCTGCCTATGTCTCTGCCTCTCTCTCTCTCTCTGTGTCTCTAATGAATAAATAAATCTTAAAAAAAAAATGTGATTAAGGTTGCATTTTGGGGGGAATTAAATTATAATTATAGTCAAAGGAGTGATCTCCATAAAAATCAGTATCTTAAATCTTAAAAAAAAAAGCTGGCAAGAATAAGGCTTCAAAATTACACCTACAAAGGATTTAGATACTGGAATTTACACATGCAGAACATAAAACTGAGAAATCTCTAGTTTTTTAATATCTTTTAAGATTTTATTTTTTTATTCATGAGACACAGAGAGAGGCAGAGACATTGGCAGAGGGAGAAGCAGGCTCCCTATAGGGAACCTGATGTGGGACTGGATCCCAGGTCCCTGGGATCAAGTGAGCCAAAGGCAGATGCTCAACCACTGAGCCACCCAGGCACCCGAGAAATCTCTAATTAAAAAGGGAAGGCATAAATATTAATGATAAAAAAGATGCTACAGAGATTAATTAGCTCATAAGGGATAATGAAGAACTTCATGCCAAAAACTTGTAGAAATGAAATGTATGAATTCCCAGAAACCAGCAACTTAACAAAACAAAAATGTGCATAATTCTCAAGCATTTGAAAAAAAAAATCAAATCAGTATTTTAAAATCTTTCCTCAGTGAAAACAACAATTCAGAGATCTTATTTATAAGTTCTATTTCAGTCAAGGAATACTAGTTAGGATACAGAAAATCTCTCATCTCTTTGTAGGGAACTCACACTACTTTGAAACCAAAATCTGGCAAAGACGGTCTGAGAAAAATCATAGGTCATTTTAACTATATATAAACATGCATTTCAAAAAACCTTAAAACCAAATATTAGCAACACAAGGTAAGTTAATATATAGAAAGAAAACATCATAACCAAGGTGGATTTATCCAAGAAATGCAAGGTCTTACGTGGAGAAAAAAATAAAAAATAAAGGATTGTACTGTAAGTCCCCTTGCCTTTCCCTAGAACTATTTCAAACCTTGAGGACTGCAGCTCACTGTCCCTTCTTGCTCTCCTGGAACTCCTGTACCTGACCTTTACATTTTGACTTTTTACAGGCTAGGGGGGAGGGTAGGGTGGGAGAGAAGACAGTCTCCCTCAAGGAATGTACACCCCAAGAGGGCAGCGATATACATGGTTTCTCAATACCTGCCAGAACCAGGTGCAATACCAGGGCATTACAAATGTGCAGTGAATGTTCAAATTAACTGCATTTTCCTCTGATCTGACTTGTCTCCAACTGAAGGTAGGGCCTCTCAGCTAAACGAGGCCAGCACATTCACCTTTTTTACCTCTGGGGCCACTCGAGAAGTGAAAGAAGCAAGCTTAGCCATCACCAACTGCCTGGGAATCCCAAGCTCACTCCTGGCACTGATCATATAAGGCATTGACTAGTAGCATACCATGCCCTCCTGGGCCCCCACTCCAGAGTGGAAGGCAACTGGGTCTGAGTGGTTGGGGCAGGGTGTGCACTGCACTGTCAAATTCCCGGTCCCTCTAAGTCCATGCTGCTTGGAGCCCCTCCTTGAAGCTGGTACTGGTCCGCCCCACAGCCAGGCTTGGTTCTTACGACTGAGCTGAGGATGCTGCTTGACTAAGAACTCCAGGACCTGGACTTGTGGTTCCACTCCAAGAATGACCTCTCACCTGCTAGTTTCTGGATCAGTAGCCAGACAAGCAACTTTCCTGCACACACTGATGAAATATGCTAAACTGGAGTCAGACAGGAATCACACATCTTGAGTAAAAGGGAAGAAAATCCATCCCAGAGAGCAAATTAATGCAAAAAAGAAATCTGGTTCAAATTAATGGTTTTATTTCCATCTGTAACACTAGCAGGAGTCCAACAGACTAATGTACATGGATATAGTTTAAATGTAACAAAGAAAGATTTGAACTATGTACAATGAAGAGGAAAATGATTTTTATCAATCTTTTCCTATTTTGCAGTTTCTGAATAGTAGAAACTAAACATTTTTTCCCCAATTTAATTTAGTATGAAGGAATACAACCTTTATGATCAACCATTTGTCCTTAAGCACAAAACTTAAAGGAGATTTTGGCTGCATGGTGGTCTTGGTTTCTGAAGTCTGGGTACTGCTGGAACCTAACAAAAGAGTTTCCATGAAGCCCAGAAGGAACTTAATGGCAATGACATCCAAATAGAGGGCAGACATACCTAGCATTGTGCCGATGAGAAATGATGTCCTGCCCTCCTTGACTCCAAGTAGAAAATTACTTTCATCCAAATTAACTGGAAGTGAGCCAAAGTTAAAAAGTCAGAATGAAGAATAAAACAAATTTCTTTTCACATACAGGAGGGACACTCCTTCAGCCCCATTTAAAGTGAATTCTGTGCCGAGTCCCTGCTCCTTCAGAAGGGTAAACTGAAGGTCAGTTATTGCTAGCAAAGCCAGAGGAGGCCCTGTTCCCACCTTGAAGATGTTTCACATGAAGAAGCTGTTGGTTTGGCTTAAAACCCTCTGAAGAAGGAGGGTGCAGAGGCAGAGGCAGGTTGACACGGCAAGGCCTCGCTCCCACTAGCTGCCCCAGGCCCTGTGTTGTGAGGGGCAGCTCAGGCCACCCCACTGCCTCCTCCAGGACCAAGCAGAGCATGTTATCTGGCTGCCCTGGGGAGAAGAGGCCACCGTACTTTGCCAACCAAACCTATGGAGCAGTCAAAAGCCCAAAGGATCAAAGCCTATTGAAGGCCAGAAGAGCAGCTTCTAAAATGAATGTCAGTTGGTGTGGGGGTGGGGGTTAAAGCCGAAGGCAGAGCCCAGCTAACATCAGGTGGGCCAAATTCTCTGAAACTCTGGGCAGCCATGACTTGGACAACAGCATGGACATGGGTGGCTGGTAAGGCCACAAGTACTGCCACTACCTCCCAGTATTTATGCTTGAGTAGACATTAGGCAGTGGGAACTGAGGACCAGAGGGCATGTGGCAAACACAGGATAGATCTTATCAGAAAACAGAGAGGATACCTGACCACATGTCTGCCCAAAGTACCTAGCATGGCTTGTGCCAGGTGAAAAGCTCTGGGACACGGGTTAAGTTCCTGAGAACAGGTGGCAGGTAGGACTGGGTGGGACAGGCACTGCTCCACAGGCACCACGAGGACTCTGAGGAAACACTTCCAGTGCTACATCTCCTGGGCTGCTGAGTAGACAAAGAACAGGCTTTATTGCACATTTCGTTCTTAGGAAACTGGGAATTGCCCTGTAGAGATTCTCCTGACCTGCAGACCCTCCTGCACATTGATGCTAGGGTACAGGTGGGATCATGAGTAACCTCTGACTCAAGGGAAGAGTCCAGTGGTGGGTCTTTCCAGGGCCATGCTCACAGCCGGGATCCTCAGGCCGGATGGACCTTGTTGGGCTTGGTCACCATGGTGCTTGCCCAGGAGAGCTGGGTGGACCTGCCTGCTCTCTGACCAGGACCAGCCCCTGGCGATACTGCCACGAGGAAGCTGGGACAAACTTTCCAGATGGGGAGAATTTCTTGCAAACGTGCATGTTCCAGAATGAGGCTGGAATCATGATTCTTGGTTCCAATGTGTCTAACTCCCTCTCTCCTACCCTGGAAGCAGACCGCACAGAGTAGTAGAGATGTAGATCCTGGCCTGGGTGGGCCCTGGCTCCAGCTCCACAGCAGTAAACTGGAGGCAACGAAAGGGTCTAAGTGGAGTTTGGAAACAAAAGAGCAGTTTACATATCAGATGTTGGTTTTGAAATAGTCTTTTCGAGCTCGGGGTATTGAGGCAGAGAACCCACGAAAGGCCGTGTGGAGAACCCAACAGGCTGTCTATCCATCCACCTCTCCCAAGCAGCTCTCCACACTTCATATATAAATGGGGTGGTATCGTTTGTGGTTGATCTTTTTCCTGCAAGTCGGGCAAGTGTTAGCATTCTTAAGGGCATCGCGGAGGCACTGGCTACAAAAGACGTGGCCACATTCTGTAGAAACAATGAGACGTCCGTTCTGTACAATCTAGAAAACATAAAAAAAAAAAAAAAAACAGCTTTTGTGTGTGCCCTGGTCCCAGAGCAGCAACAGTCCCCAGAGAACCCTACTTCTGCTGAGCTGAGAGGAGGAAGGGCTAGGCAGGTCCGGAGAACTGAATATACCCACCTGCTCTGCGGTGTCAGGCAAGCATGAGCAGGGCCTCTGAAGCTGAGAGCAGAGGCAGGAGCCACTCTCCTGGCAGCCATGGCCCAAGAGTGTTGGAGGGACCCTGGATGCCTGAACCCACAGGGGCAGCGTTGGACGGCTCAGGAGCCATAGTAAGCACAGGGGTGGGGAACACGAGGGCCAGAGCTGGAGGCTGCAGGGCCCAAGAAGAAGCTGGCACATTCTCCCCTCATACACAGAGATGTGTGACAGGCCAGAGCAGAGGCAGCAAATCCCACCAAAGGAGAAGACCCTCTCTCTCATCTAATTCTTTCACAGAAGCCACATGGAAACCAGGAGCAAGGAAGTTTGCTTACCTCAGAGTACCCGTCCATGCAGATTGGACAACTGACAGTACCAGAGGGCCTAAAATCATAGTGCTTCATGTCAGTTCCTTGGCAAACTCAAACATTCTATTACTGTAAATGGCTTCATATAAGCAGCCCATACCTTAGCAGAGGCACTAGGGATTTACAGAAAGGCCAATGGCCCCAATGGGGTACAGGAAGGAGGCAAGAGGGGAATGAAAAGTACACACAACCAGAGGTGCCCTGTCACCCCTGCCTCCCTGTCTGGGGCAGGAGCTGTGCCTAGCACCTCCAAGCATTCTTGCTGCAGATCACAGAGAGCCAGTGGATCTGTTCTTCACAGCAGGTGGTGCCGTATGTGAACAGCCCAGGGCAAGTCCCATCCACCCTGACAGTGCCAGACACAGACTTGTCCCACTGGGAATGGTTGAACTAGCTCTGAATCCAGACCCACCTGCACCCAGTTGCTGGGCACCTGCACAAGACCTTCTTGAGCCATGGGTGCACAGAACTTGGGAAAGGTCCCGTATTTCCAATACCCTACACCCCTGAGAAATGGTGGGGGTGGGGGTGGGGGATCCCCACTCCAGGATGCAAGTGGTCCCACGGGGCCAGAGGCATCTGGTGAGGCAGCAAGGCAATGGGAGTGCTGGTACCTGAGTCCTGTGGCTGCCTCCTCCCTTGTGTTTCTAGGAGTGTGGGTGGTCACGTACACATCTCTGTCCCTGGACAGCTCCTCGTCATCACTGCTCACCACACAGCTGTCGGCATGGTCCTGGCGTGGCCGCCTCGCGTTCCTCCGTGGCCGCCTCCTCTCTAAGGTGTGAAACCATGCTCAGGGCAGGGTTCCTAGCCCTGTCACCTCCCTAACCCCTTCCCGCCAGGGAAAGGCCAGTCCCAGACCCGAGAGACCACTGTCCTGTCTTCCCAGAAGAAGCCCCATCCCTGCCATGAGCAGGTGTCAGAGCTGTGGGGCCATCTAAAGTCTCTAAGGTGGTTAGCTTTCTCCAAAATCCAATGAGCTCAGTACTAGGGGTACTGTCTCCCCAGCAAGCACAGAGCACTAATTGCAGGGGTGTCCTGCCCAGCATTCTTGTCTCCACAGGCCTGCCAAGAACTTCAGCATTGTACCCACATCACTTCTGTATCCAAACCCAATGAAAGAGAGAAGACACCACTCACCGTCAACAATCTTTTAAAAAAGGAAGAAAACAAAAGAGAAAGACACAATCAGTATGACATAAAATTCTCTGTATTTTTAAAAACTTATCTTAAATGATAAAATTGAAGCATTTTTAAATTTCAAGTGCAAAATCCTCAGGGTACCAGTTAAGCCCTCCCACAGAATGGGATACATGCTGCCCTGTCCAGCACCGATGGGAGATCTGTACACCTCTCCAGTCAGGCCCATCCCAGATGCCCACCAGGTGCCAGGTGAGTCTGGGAGCTGCTGGCCTGGTGACCTGGGGAAGTTACTTACCCACTGGGGGGGTGTCAGCTTCCTCTTCTGGAGCACAGAGGCACCAGTGCCCACAGCTCCCCCTACTGTTGCGAGGACTACACAAGATAACAAACATCTTGGGGCACTAGGGACTAGCTTACTAGCTCCACAGGCTCTCCATGTCCGGGTGCACCAGTGACAGGACTCTTATGTTCCAGACAGGCTACTGCCAAAGGTGGAGCCTTCCTGGGAGGAGGGTCTGCAGTGCTTATGATAGGGAATAACCAAGTAATTGAAGTGGGACATGCAGGGACCAATGAGTGGCACACCAAGGAGACCAAGATCAATCTGATTCCATGTTCTCCAGGCTGACAAAAAAGCTATTGAGCACTCGACAAGGCCATCATCTGTTCACTTATAACCTACACTAGGACTATTTTTGCTACAATGGTTTCACACCACATCTCTTCAGCCCCCTGAATTCCTAGACCTGTCTCTACAGCATCACCAGAAGCACACCTTTTCCCTCTTGCTTGCCACAGGCCATCAACCACCTCAGGAAAGTCCTCCTGATGGCTGTTGAAAGGCCCTTGGAGAAACTGGAAGCTCTCTCCAGCCCAAGTCCCTTGTGGCAGGGGCTGTGAATACGAAGTAAGCTCCCCCTACCCAGGGAAACACATTCGGAGGCCAACACATTCGGGTGCTGGAACTGTGTGGTGGCAGACGTGGTGGGCAGTATGAGAGACTGTCATGGCAGAGGTGGTGGTGTATGAAGCCCAGGCCCCCCTCCTTGGCAAGGGGCTGTTATAGCATTTCCTGGGACCCAGAGAGATCAAAACCCCTGGCCTCCTGCTCCAGCCCTTCTGCTTGGGCCAGAAGGAACAGCTTCTAGGATGGATCAAGGCTGAGATGTCTGGAGTTATTCCTAGAGACCTGCTCCTCCAACCTTTTCAAGACCAAGCAGTAGCTCTTCCTATGTATTAAAATCCATGTGCTTTAGAACCACCACAGTGGATTCAGTTTTCCAAACTGAATCCTGACAGATACAAACAGCCATCCCAGGAAAGAAGAAGGTCTAAGTAAGCATAAAGGTCTTCATTTTGCAGATGAGAACACGAACCACAGGCAGAGCTGCTAAAGGCACTCCCCCCACCCCCTAGAAGAGGCTGGATGGAGTGTGCAACTATGAAATTGAGGGGACAGCAATCTCATCACTGGGATTCTTAACTGGAAAAAAAGCTTGGGCTGACAAGAGGTGCAGTTCTTATGAGGTCTATAAAAGGAGAGCTCTGAATTTAGCCAAGAACAGAAGGAAAACCTGCTGTAGGCAGGGATGACTCCAGCCTTCTGGCACTCCAACACTGCCTCACCTCCTTTGGTCAGGATGGGCCATTTAATGAGGTGTGGACACACCTGGAAGGGAACACAACGCTGCTGGCTGCCCAGCAAGCAGTGTGTGGGAACCGGGTCTCCATGGGCTCTTGTGAGTCAGACCCAGTTCTCTTCCAGGAAGTACCAGGCTCGGGCCAGACCTGAACCCCCAGGGAGGTACGGACGCTGCCTACTCCCCAAGGCTCAGGATGGGAGCTCCTGACATAATTACTGGGTAAGTGTAGTGGCCAGAGAGCTATCCTCACTGCTGAGGACACTGTCTCCGTCTTTTAACAGAAAAGCTCAGGGAGGAAGGTCCTCATCCTAAGTGTAGAAAACAATGGAGCCACAGCCTGGCCTCCTAGCTCCCTGCCCTTGGCACCTCTGTGCCCACATCCTGGTTGAGCGACAGGCGACACTGCAACCAGTGGTCCCTCCAGCCAACAGCTGAACCACATCAAATTCCAGAACCTCTGTAGGCATCTGCAGGCACTCTGGAATGGCCCTTCCTCATGCCTGGGGCCCTGCAGGTAGCATAGTGCTTACCCGGAACAAGAGATGGGGGTGGGACGGGGGGTAGGGGATGGGCAGGAAGCTCTGAGGATTCTCCTCTGGAAGAGAGGCCTTTAAAAGAAACAAAATACCAACACCCCAAACCCCTGGTCTGAATAGCTGAGTCAGTACTACAACAAGGGGCTTGAGATCAGACCTACACATCCCACTTCCCCTTTATGTCTGGTTTTTCTTTGAGTATGGAATAAACCACAGGTCAGAGCACTGACACATATGACAGGTCTGGAGAAAGGACAACCCACAGAAGACACCTGGTGTCACTTGCTTTCACACCAGGGCACATTGACTCCGGGCCGCTCACCTGAAGGCCCTCTGGGCTCCTGAAACACAGCCTCAGAACTCCTGCAAGTGCTGACATCCATGTCACAGGCTCCTGGTCAGTGAGGGAGGACAAGCCCCTCTACCACCAGGACACAAAACCCCTGGCATTCTAGGTACCTCCTGGGGCTGCAACCAATATGCTGAGTGAAATAATAGGACAAACCAAGCAGAAGTCCCTGAGGTCCTCTGTATGCAAGCAGGCCCCTCACATTCCTAAAAATGCTCAGCCAGCCAAAAGCTCTGCAAGCCACTTGATTTAGACAGCCTCCTCACTTGGCTTCACAGGTTGCTGCACTGGAAAAACATCCACCTCCACCTACTGGCTCCTCTCTAGGTCCAGTGGTTGCACACAGCATGCAAGTATACATTCCTGTTACTGTTGCCGTGCCAGGAGTACCAGGAAAACCGGTTCTCACATTAACGTTCCAGTCAAAGTAAGTAGTTCCTATCTGATTGCATGTACAACTCTTTCCCCAAATTCCTGGATGTGGTGACCAAGCCCTTCTTTCTTCACACACGTTTATGTTCATTCACAGTCATTCTAGCCGGCACTGGGTGCCCCTCAGGCCCTAGACTATTCCCATGGAGACAGAGAAGCCTCTGTCCTTGCTGCAAGGGAGCTTCAGTTAAAGAAAACCTGCTGCAGGCAGGGATGACCCCAGAATCCAAAAAAAATAGGCAGATACAGAATGTAACACAAATCACATGACTCACTGGTACATTATGAAAAGAGACCAAAAAGATATTCCAGGGAAACCGACCTGACTTTATTATTTTTTTTTTAATTTTTTTATTTATTTATGATAGGCACACAGTGAGAGAAAGAGAGGCAGAGACACAGGCAGAGGGAGAAGCAGGCTCCATGCACCGGGAGCCCGACGTGGGATTCGATCCCGGGTCCCCAGGATCGCGCCCCGGGCCAAAGGCAGGCACCAAACCACTGCGCCACCCAGGGATCCCCCGACCTGACTTTAAAAAAAAAAAACAAAACACTCTTTAAAAACAACACTGGGCAGCCCAGGTGGCTCAGCGGTTTAGCACCACCTTCAGCCCAGGGTCTGATCCTGGAGTCCCACGTCAGGCTCCCTGCATGGAGCCTGCTTCTCCCTCTGCCTGTGTCTCTGCCCCCCCCCCCCCCCCCCGTCTCTCATGAATAAATAAAATATTTTTAAAAAATAAAAATAAAAAGATAAAAAACAACACTTTTGAAATTCAGTGAGGGAAAGCAATCTAAGCAAATACCATTTCCCGTATCTTCCCCTCTTAAAGACTCAATTTCTTAAAGATAAGGAGCACATCTTTTCTATCAACACGCCACCCCCTATAGCCAGAGTAGAGGCTGACATGGTGCAAATGCTCATGTAAAGGGCACCTGGCTGGTTCAATTGATTAAGCAGCTGCCTTCGGTTCAGGTTATGATCCCAGGATCCTGGAGTCCCAGGATAGAGCCCCACACCAGACTAAGCCCAGTGTCAGGCTCCCTACTTAGCTACAAGTCTGCGTCTCCCTCTTCCTCTGTCCCCAGCTCCTGCGAACACACACGTGCTCTCTCAAAGTTTTTTAAAAAGTGGCCTGAGGGCACCTGGGTGGCTCAGAGGTTGAGCATCTGCCTTTGGCTAAGGTCATGATTCCACAGCATCCTAGGATCAACTCCCAGCCATCAAGCTCCCTGTGAGGAGCCTGCTTCTCCCTCTGCCTAGTCTCTGCCTCTCTCTCCGTGTCTCTCACGTCTCTCTCATTTTAAATAAAAAGGTATCTAAAAAAATATGTGCTCAAACTGAACGGAATATGATAATCCAGAGGGAAAAAAGCACAGAAGATTCTTAAAAAACTAAAGTCTACTTGTGAAAGCCTCAAGGAGAAACCAAAGCTCAGGTAGGACCTGTGGGGGCAGGTCATTCAGTCAAAGCCAGCCATCTCTTGCAGTCCAGGCTCAAAGTCTCAGGAACTATCAAAGAACACACAGCCTATATTTTCTGACTAATAAAGCAATAATTAAAAGAATCAGTAACAACAAAAAGGAAATAAAACCCCACATGTTTGGAAGTTCTGACTAATAAAGCAATAATTAAAAGAATCAGTAACAACAAAAAGGAAATAAAACCCCACGTTTGGAAGTTAAACCCCACAAATTTGATAAATATGTGGAATTGAACATAAAATACTTATAACAAAACCTGTAGGATATAGCTTAAAAATATATGACATTTACTGGAAAAAAATGATGAAAATTAGTAAGTTAGAAAGATAGCAAAATAAACTCAAAGAAAAAAAAAACAGCAATCCTAAATGAAAACAAACTTACAGGACAAAGATCCACAAAGCTAAAACTTGGTTCTCTGAAAAATCTAATAAACTTCTGGTTATGCTAAAGAGAAAACACAAACAACCAATATCAGAAATGAAAAAAGAGACATCACTACAGATTCCACATTGTATACATTAAGACATCACAAGGAGATCCCTGGGTGGTTCAGCGGTTTAGG